ATCGCAATTTTGAACTAGGTGTCGAAGAGCCCGAGGGTCAGGCGATGTCGGTCGCACCCAAGTAGACCAGCCTGAGTGGCCAGACGAGCCAGATCCCTGGGCTGAAACTGATTTCCTCTGCTCCATATCCTTTGCTTTTCCCGCCGCCCCCCCCCCCCCCCCCCCCCCCCCCCCCCCCCCCCGAGCGACCGCCGGGCCGCCGTGCCCGGGCTCAGCGACGGCGGCAGCAAGCTCACCGAAGCCACCCAACATGCCGCTGACAGACAGGGAAGGGCTTTACCGCAGGTTTGCCGCGAGGGCCCGCGCCCCAATTCGCGCCAGCCCCCCGAAGAAGGACTCGGCAGTGTCAGGCGCGATAATTCGGCCACCCGAGAGCCAGAGCCTAAAGAGCCCTCCCGCGCGACCGAAGGGACTCGCGCTGGCCCCAGCGCCCTGACTCCCATGCCAAGCTGCCATCCCTGACGACCTGTGGTGTCACACGCGTGAGGAGAGCGGGTTTGCGTCTGGGGCTAGATGCCCAGTGGCATTTCGGCTCAATGAAACACACTCCGCTTCAATGTCAGGCACGCGTGCTGAGTTTGCCACCTCGCTCGGGCACGCGACTAGCAAGCGCCATTTCCAAGGCCCCTCGGGCGCGCGCCGAGCCCGCGGACCGCAGTTCAAGGTTCAGCCCACGCATGCGGTCGCCCATCGGCGCCATCAGCGGCTACGCGACGCACGCGCCCAGTGGTGGACGCGGCCCCTGGCGGTCCTGAGCGCGGCCCTGTCGAGCCTCCGAGCAGCCAGCAGGCCTGCGCGAAGCTGCCCCATGAGGCCCCTGAGAGCGCCCAGGATGCCCTTCGACCACAACGAGACCCACCGCGGGAACGGTGGCGGGAGCTACTAGCCACGGGCGCTGTCGAGACGGCGGCGGTCCTTGAGTGCTGGGAACGATGTGCCAGACGCGTAGCAGACCGCGTCCAACGGCCAGTCATATTTGCGCCCTTGCGTGATTTCAGATCCTGGGCTCGGGAGCCCCAAGCGAATGGAACTCTACGCCAATCTCCGAAGCAGATTAACTTACCAGACACTGAATTTGTTTCAGCAGCTGGAGTGGCCGTCCACCCTGTCGAGATCATGGGCGCGAAGGCGAAGAAATGCAACGATTTCTGGCCCCGCAACAGATTGGCCTCAGTACGACTCGCGATATGTTCAACCGCGTGCGGGCAGGTGCCGACGACAGCCCAGTGCCCAGAACCACTCCGGCTACGATAGTAGATGCATGCGGCAGAACGAAGCCCCCCCCCCCCCCCAGGCCTAAGGGACGACGGCTTCGCGCCGTTAGACTTCAGGCGACTTCCTCAGACAGCACTTCAGGAGATGACACCACTACTGACAGTCCTTGAGGATAGAATTACGTGGCCGATTCAGGCGCAAGTCACCCTGGTTAAGCTCGCGCCCAAGAAGACTGGAGCAGATCGGGCTATAGGAATGACCTCGACGCTTGGAAGAGTTTGGTCGGTGATCAGAGAGACGCACGTTCCATAATGGACGCAGTGCCTCGCCGCGGATTGGGGCGCGGCCACCAGAGGAAACCCGCGCTTACAGGAGGCGCTCCTACGCGCCATTGGCGAAGAAGTTGCCCATGCTTTCGGAGAGACAGATTCCCTCGCAGTGCTTGACATTGCGTCATCTTACGATGCCATCCCCTGGCCGCCGCTCGTGGAGGCAACTTTATCATTAGATTCGTTTCCGCTCTGCGTTCTATATCTAGAACTGGTCCAATGCATTCCCCCGTGAGCACTGGAACATATGGGCGCGGCGTCAGATATCTTTGAACCATCGCAGTCAGTGCTTCAGGGCCTGCGAAGCGGGACACGCTTCGCGAAGGCCCTGACCCAGTGCGACATGCACAATATAACATTGGCACATCCCAGAGTGAGCCATCGAATATGGGTCGACGATTTGTCTCAGAAGATGTCAGGGTCTAGCCGCGCCGTCAGGAAACATCTGATTGACTGCATCGTCCATGCGTACCATCTGCTGGAGACGAGAGGCCTCAAAGTGGCCCCGAAGTCCATCATCCTGAGCTCGACGACTGAAGGTACCAAGGCCATCGTCCGCGAAGTCCGCAGGCGGGGTTACCAGATCAGAGGGGACCAAGCAGGCGGCGGCATGCCTGGGCGTTGATTCCGGGCGCGGGCGCCACACCCGCAGCACGCGGCGCGTGAGGAAGTAGAAGCACCAGCTCATGTCGAACAAGATACGCAAGTTCGCCAAGGCGCCCAGACGCTTTAAGGTGGCGGTCGAACTGCAGACGCAGGGAGGCCTCCCTGCTGGCTTGCACGGCCACCAGGTGCACGGCGTTTTCGGACAGCAGATGCAGCTGGTGCGACGACGGCTGGCGCAGGCAAGCGGAGGGACTGGCAAGGGCCGCTGTCTCACAACAGTGCTCGACCTCAAGGCCCCAGGCCAGGACCCAGCGCTGAAGCTACCAGTTCAACTCGTGGACCAGTGGCTGAAGTCGTGGCGAGGCCATCCCAGGCTCAGAAAAGATATTCGTAGAATTAGGAATCATACACACGCAGATCCGTAACCGCAACCCTGCAAACCAGTCTCGTAACGTGCGTGGCCCAATCTCGGCAATGACCTGAACATTGATGAGAGCGGGCTGGGACCTGCAAAAGACGCGCCAGTGGAGCTACACTACCGACGCGGGCAGGACAGAGCAGTGGCAGTTCCCAGACGAGTCCTACACAAGCGATGTGCACAAAGACCGACACGACCACTTGCTGCAATACCTGCTACGATCAGTATCCCAGAAGCGCTGGGAGACTGCGAGCCAGCACTACGCTGGTGGCGGGCTGGGGCGCGGGGTGGATATGGAGTCGTTCCAGGAGCTAGCGTCCCAACCGGAGGCCTCACCACATGGACGCTAACTGTCAGAGACTATGGTCACGATTGCAGCAATAGGGAGCTGGCCCACATCGAGGAAACAGTAGTTGATCCGGAACTTCCAAGGTACCGAGGTTTGCGACAGGTGCCAACGCTGTTCAGAAACATTGTTGCATCGTTCTTGGGAGTGCGAAAACCAGCATGTGAGGCTAGCGCCCAATACGTTCCTGGACGTGGGCCCCAGAGCCCTGGACGTGGGCCCCAGAGCCCGTTGACCATGACGCGTGGTGGCCCGAAAATGTGCCCGATGTTGTAGGTGGGTGTCTTGGGCATGGGGCCCAAAGTGAGCCCCTGCTGGTGTCTGGGGATGCGTCGGGCGGGCCTGAGCCCAAATGGCCCAGGCTCCGACGCGTAGGCCTCGCGATCGCCTGCTTTAACTCGCTAGCGCCCCTGTCAATCCAAGTCTCCATAATGGGACCTCTGAGTGGCACTCGACAAGTGGTCGCCCGAGGGGAAAGTCGTGTTTTTTTTTTTGCCTTGGAGAGTTCCACTGGTTATATGTTGAATCTTACTGATTACGAACCGTTTGCTGCGGGGTGGTACACTGGAATGTATGAACGCCCACACGACCCTGACGCTGACCTGTGGGCAAGCATGGGTGATCAACTGTGTGCCCGACCTCCCTTTTGCATTCGGTAGTTTTTGCACCTAGTCACCAGACCGAGGAGGACATCGTGTCCCAATGCGCTGTCAGCACACAGGTTCTGGCCAACACCGTTGCTGATAATTTGGCCGAAGCCGCCGCCCACCTTGCCCGAGTTCCTGCCCCCGTCCGCCAGGATGTTCACTTACAGGAAAAACGGGCCATGCATGTCCGTATGCGGCTCCATCGTGCCATGCTCGACTGCTTCCGTGCTGAGCAAGAGCTTGCCCTGGGTGCCCGGGAGAGAATGGATGAGGTGGTACCCCCTCCTCCCCTAACCACTCCCCGCCCCTCAGCTGCTGTGCTCTCCTCCTTCCGCTCGGCTCATCGGCTCTCGGAGTGTCAACGTAAGTGTCTGAGATGTTTCAGTTCGGCGTCATTTGCTACATCTGAGGAGTGGAAACTCACCCCCTGCCAGGAGCTCGTCAATGTGGACGGGACCCTTTACGCCCCAGCCCAAGGGATGCGTATACATGTAGCGGGGGGCTGGCTGCATCCAACCCATCTCCTTCATTACCATTCTCAAGTGAAGGTCTGGTTCTGCGGCTCGTGTGGGGCCATAGCTGATCATCAGATTTGTTCCTTGGGCAAGCCCTATTTGATCCACCCCACTCGTACAGTCCGTATGTACCTTCGTCGCTTAGCTGAGGGGCTCCCCCCCAAGACCCATGGCGAGGCTGGCCCATCGAGGCAGCCACCAGGGGCCCAGCTTTAAGCGATAGCCAAACTTGCTTCGCAACGGGGCTCGCGATCTCAATATCCACCTCCTTCTCCTCCTCCTCCTCCTCCTCCTCCTCCTCCTCCTCCTCCTCCTCCTCCTCCCCCTGCCCCTGCCCCTCCCCCTCCCCCCCCCCTCCTCCTCCACCTCCTCCTCTCCTCCTCCTCCTCCTCCGCCTCCTCCTCCACCTCCTTCTCCTCCTCCACCTCCTCTTCCTCTTCGTCCTCCTCCTCCTCCTCCTGCTCCTGCTCTTGCTCCTGCTCCTGCTCCTGCTCCTTCTCCTCCTCCTCCTCCTCCTCCTCCTCCTCGTCCTCCTCCTCCTTCTTCTCCGTCTTCTCTCCTCCTCCTCCGCCTCCTCCTCTTCCTCCTCGTCCTTATCCTCCTCCTCCTCGTCCTCCTCTTCCTCTTCCTCTTCTTCCTCCTCCTCCTCCTCTTCCTCCTCATCCTCCTCCTCCTCCTCTTCCTTCTCCTCTTCCTCCTCCTCTTCCTCCTCCTCCTCCTCCTCCTCCCCCTCCTCCTCCTTCTTCTCCTCTTTCTCCTCCTCCTCATGATACTCTACCTCCTCCTCCTCCTCCTCCTCCGCATCCCCCTCCTCCTCTTCCTCCCACTCCCTTGCCGCCAATCCAAGTGCGGCCGGCGAGACGATTCCCCACTCGCCGCTGGCCGGGCGAGCGGGCGGGCCGCGGGGCGCGGGGCGGCGCGGGCCGCGGACAAGCTCCCCCCGGCAGCTCTCCGGTGGGCCTCCGCTCGGTTCTC